GGGGTGGGAGGGATGGGGTGACTGGGTGATGGACACTGGGGAGGGTGTGTGCTCTGGTAAGTGCTGTGAATTGTGCAAGACTGTTGAATCTCAGATCTGTACCTCTGAAACAAATAATGCAATATATGTTAAAAAAAAAAAAAGAAGAAGAAGAAAGTAGCGGGAGGGGAAGAATGAAGCGGGGGAAATCGGCGGGGTAGACGAATCATGAGAGACGATGGACTCTGAAAAACAAACTGAGGGTTCTAGAGGGGAGGGGGGTGGGAGGATGGGTTAGCCTGGTGGTGGGTATTGAGGAGGGCACATTCTGCATGGAGCACTGGGTGTTATGCACAAACAGTGAATCATGGAACACTTCATCTAAAACTAATGATGTAATGTATGAGGAATAACATAAGAATAAAATAAAAAAAAATAAAGAGACTGGATTTTCATTATGGGCAACAGAATTGTTGATTGGTTTTATTGAGGAATGGCATGACTGGGCTCTCATTTCTGAAGGGTTATGCTCCCGGCAGCATGGAGAAGGGAGGCAGAGATGCTGACTAAGCAGAACTTAGGGACGAATTGCTGCAGAAAAGGGCACTAGCGGTTCGATTGCAGGCGGGGGAGTTGTTGGGGGCTGGAGGTTCATTTCATGCCGTAGGAGTGAGGAAAGAAAGAGGAAAGGCTCACGCCAAGATTTCTGCCTTGGGAGATGGAGGTGAGATGCCACTCACTCAGATGGGGACACTGGAGCTGGGGAGAAGGGAGGTGGAAGTTGGTAGGTCAACTATTTCCTTTGTGCCTAAGGCACTTGCAAGAAATCCAAGCAGAAATGCTCAGAAAGCAGATAAATATATGGGCCTTGATAAGGAAATTTTCCATGTGCCACAGCAGGACCCTGAGCCTGCTGGGTGCAGACAGCAAGCAGGTGTGGCTCAGATGAGGGACCTGAGTGACCACTCTCAGGAAACTGGGTAGAAGTATCAGAAAACCAGACCGATGGTGAAACTGTGGCTCTGCCGCGTAGATTGGGGCTCAGCCACCAGGGGCAGCCAGCTCCTCTGTAACCAGCGCATCCAAATCAATAAGACAAGGATTATTTAAACCGACAAAATAAAAATAAAAAAATCTTTAAAAAAAAAGGGGGGGGGGCACCTGGGTGGCTCAGTCGTTAAGCATCTGCCTTCAGCTCAGGTCACGATCCCAGGGTCTTGGGATCCAGCCCCGCATCGGGCTCCCTGCTCCGCGGGAAGCCTGCTTCTCCCTCTCCCGCTCCCCCTGCTTGTGTTCCCTCTCTCGCTGTGTCTCTCTCTGTCAAATAAATAAAAATAAAACAAAATCTTTAAACCGACAAACTGCTGTAGTCTTCTTTGTGAGGTTGTGTGGCTTCGCTTTTGTAAACCCCACCTTGCCCTCGGTCAGACAACAGTGTTCACTGGGGCTGCTCACTTTCATATGCTCTGAATAAATCCCCAATGTTTTAAATCAACTTTCTCTGCAGCTTAACTCTCACTGTGCCTCAGTCTTTCTCTTTTTTTAAATTGGTCTAGATCTCAAGAAAGAGGTCGGAGCTAGCAATAATAGATTCGGGAGTCAAGTGGGCCTGCTGCAAGGAAATAAAATAGGAAAATGCTGGGGCGCCTGGGTGGCTCAGTTGGTTGAGTGACTGCCTTCAGCTCAGTTCACGATCCGTGAGTCCCGGGATCCAGTCCCACGTCGGGCTCCCGGCTCAGCGGGGACTCTGCTTGTCCCTCTGACCCTCTCCCCTCTCAGGCTCTCTCTCACTCTCTCTCTCTCAAATAAATAAATAAAATCTTTAAAAGAAATTTTTTTAAAAGGGAAATGCCATAGGTTGTATGGCCCTTAGAGACTAACAATGCACTTAACCATATGAGTGGTTCTAAGAAATCACTTGGGGAAAAGACACCCTGTTTAATTTTTTTTAACCTGGCCTATCTAAGTCATTTGACCCTGAAACTTTTTTGCCCCCAAATAATCCCATTAAACCCCACAGAACCAGTGTTTTGTAGAAGATGCTTGGATAAATGATAGTTTAGTCATTTTGCATGAAGTAAGTCTATTGAGACTCTTGTGTGTATAAATACTTAAATTTTATGTGAAAAATAATACCAACCAGGTTACATGATTTTTCTCAGCCATCTCCCCATTGAAGTAATCTCACTACTAAATGCCTTGCAAACCAAGTACTGCCACCATCCACCTCTCCAGAGGAGCTGAGGTTGCAAGCCCACTATCCAGGAGGAACTAGCCAGCCTCTAGAAGTCGTATGTCTTTAAATGTGAAGGCACTTGGAGAAGCTGATGACAGCTGTATACCACCTGCATAAGGAGGGACACTTGCATATTTTCATCTAACCCATACAATCAAGAGATTCACAGTCCTTAAATCCCACTTGAAGAGTTCCTGCTCTACCAGACACTAAAAAATGCAAACCTATTTAATGATGGCTAAAGTAACAGTGCTTTTGAAATCAAAAGTCCTTTGCACTTGGGGTGTATGTGAAGCACGTTCTTTGGTCACTGACTGGAACCAGTATGTCCAGTGCCACCTGCCTTCTACATTTCAGGTCTTCCTGCAGCTCTGCAGCTGGCCATGGCTTCCCAACCAAAGTCCATGATTTGCCAGATGGGTTGAAGCTGCTCTTTAATGAATCACTATAGATTCTCTTCTAAACTTCATGCTTTCAGTGATCGTATTTGACCTCCCTATCAAAAAAGCTGAGTAACAGTGGAGGATTCTGAAGAGCTCAAGTGTTTATGGTAGAAAGAATAATAAACTGACAGACTCATCACCAAGATTGTCGTTTCCAAAATCCCTCACTAACAAGCTGTGTAATCTTGGAAAACACCCTCTACTTCTCTAGGCTCCAGATTTCTCAATTATGAAATAAGTACAATAATTGCTGATCTTTCTGTGTCACAATGTTACCGTGACAAACAAATAAGATAATGTTCACGAAAATATTTGGAAAGCAAGAGATTACACAGAAATGTAAGAGACGGTGATGGACATATCTATAACTATTACTAATGAGACTCAATAATTACTTATTCATAGTTGTGGTTGGTTCTACTTTTGTAGTGAGTCACCACCACTTGGACAATGAGTCATATGTGAAGACAGCTTGAGTCAAAATTTCCCATGGAAGGTATCTGGCAGAATATCAGATTCGCTGCCTTTACTGCATGGATAATGGTCAACCATCTCACTTATAACATTGCCACTAGGTTGTTACTTAATGTTATGCTCCAACCCACAGCTGAATTCAAGTAAATCCGTTTGTAAAAAAATAATTTATCTGAGTAAACACTTCATCTCTTGGAATTTATCTTTGTAAGTCCCTCATCACTTGCATTGAAAGCAGAGTCATTACACAAATTAAATTATGGTTTCTACCTAAGTTTTTAAAGAAATCAGTTAAAAAGTCCTTCTATTAGTTAACTCTTTGAGGATATAAGAAATAATAATGTCAGTTGCCCTAGATTCCAGCCTCCCTTCAGCAATCTCGTGCCTGTCCTGTTCAGTCTCCACAGCTCTCTTCAGGAGCTATGTCTAGGGCAGGAACAAACACATTCATCTACTAATTGTGGCAGGGACACACAGTCCCTACCATTTCCCACACTATTACCAAACCCTAGTGGCACCCAATAGATAGAAAGAAAACAAAGAATTCGATCTCTGCTTCAGAACCTCTCCTGGCTAATTGGGGATAAGAGTAAATATATGTCAAAGCCTGCTTGAAATTAACCTTTTACATATAAAAAATGTTAGTACAACATCATTTGTGTGGTATATAAACCATATTGAAGAGCCTACCTAAAAAAAAGTATATGCTAAAGAATTCAGAGACTACATTTGAAAGTAGAAATTTGGGACTGCGACTAGATTCAGTCAAACCATTCATTTAACTAATGTTATTTAAAATTCTTCATTTATAAATACATCAGTAACCACTGAATAGAGGGAGGTTTAAGTAATAAATAAATAAACAAACAAACAAATAAATAATAGGCATTGGTCCCTGTCTACACAGCATTTATAATCAAGTGGGAGAGAATATCAAAAAGAAAGCAAAATAATATGTAATTACATCTTGGGATGAGTTCAGTGAAGAGTGTACTGAAAAAAAATCGGAGGTGAGAGGTAGGCCTCTTCACCTCCTCTTGATTGGATGACCAGAGAAGGCTAATCCGAGGACATGATACTTAAGCTCAGAACTGAAGACAAGTCTAGGCCGAGAAAGGCGTGACTGCTAAAGCCCAAAGGCATGAATGGGACAGCATGTTTGAGCAACTATGGAAAGACTTGAGTCAGATTCTAGCGAGGGGAGGAGGAGTGTTAGATCAGTTTCATCATATATTGATAGGCTTGGTAAAATGTTACATTTCAATCCAAATGCAAAGGAAAGCTTTTGAAGGATTTAAGCAGGGGAGTTAATGGATCAGATTAACTATTTAAAAGCAAGAGGGGAGGGGCGCCCGGGTGGCTCAGATGGTTAAGCGTCTGCCTTAGGCTCAGGTCATGATCTCAGGGTCCTGGGATCGAGTCCCGCATCGGGTTTCCTGCTCAGTGCAGAGCCTGCTTCTCCCTCTCCCTCTGCAACTCCCTCTGCTTGTGCTCTTCTGTCTCTCTGTCAAATAAATAAATAAAATCTTTAAAAAAAAATAAAATAGTATTTAAAATAAATAAATAAATAAATAAATAAATAAATAAAAAATAAAAGCAAGAGGGGAAAACAGAAAGATTAGTTGAGGGGCTACTACAATAGGCCAGGCAAGAAATGCTGGTTGTTAGACTATAGTCGTAGCAGTAGAGGAGAGAAGCGGATATTTGAGATGTATTTAGGAGGTAGAATGGAAAGGATTTGGCAGTAGATTGAAAATTGGCGCTGAGGCAGTGAGAGAAACCAAGGATGGCCTCTAAGTGTCTGGCTTGAGTAGGTGGATGGGTGGGGACGAAGTGCCAGACTCCATTCAAGGTCAAATATGACTCACCACATGCCCAAGCATCACTCTCTGCCTTGGGCTGTAAGAGTGGATGCAGTACTTTGATTCCAACAGTTGGTACAAATGATGGGTCGAGGTTAATTCTAACCATATCCTTCCCGGTGTGTTTGTTAGCTATCCAAATTGTCTTCTTTTTCCATACTGAATAGAAGATCCGATCACCAAAAAGGGACATTGCAAACAAATTGTGCCTAAAAAACAATAGAAAAATATAAAGAATGGCAGAACATTTCTTTCCAGGCTTATTAACATTTCACTTCATTTCAATTTATTGACTGAGTTTTAATTACCTACCTTTTCAATTGTATCTCATTTAGGTTTAGAAGCAGATACTAAGTTTAAAATTTTATTTATGTATTCATAATCTGAATTAATGGGATATAATTTCTAGCTTCAGCTTCATTGTCCCATTCTTTTGCTAATCAGCATTTAAGTGTGATGAATGTAAAACAGGGAAGAAAATAGGAATACTCTAAGAGTGGATTCTGGTTGTATCCATTTCACACTTGACTAATTTCGGCCTCTTACCACAAGCTGGTGAGTCAGTCACAGGCAAGAGAGCATATCAAATGAAATAGGTGCTTCACAAATACAGGACATAGTAATTCCAAAAGATTAGCTATAACTTATAACCAACAAGTGAGAACTTACTAGTTGCCAAAACTCTGTTAATTATTTTTATTTGCATGTCTTTACTTAATTAATTTTACTTACATTTCACAATAACCCCAAGAAATAGCTACTACTATTATCCCCACATTAAAGGAAATTGAGGTGGCTCGGCTGGTTAAGTGTCTGCCTTCAGCTCAGGTCATGATCTCGGGGTCCTGGGATCGAGCCCCACATCAGGTTCCCTGCTCAGTGAGAAGTCTGCTTCTCCCTCTCTCTCTGCCCCCCTCCCCCACAACTTGTGCTCTCTCTCTCTCAAATAAATAAATAAAATCTTGAAAAAAAAACAAACTGAGAAGTCATGTAATCTTCCCAAAGCCAACTGCCCAATAAATGGTAAATCTAGGACATGTACTCATCAAGTTTTTAGACTTCCAAATCTGTGCTAAGCCACTCCACTAGGTCAGCTGGACAAACTTCAAATGGCAATTACTTTAGTTTGCACTAAAACCAAAACTTACTGTGTAAGATGTTTGTTAAAATGGACAGAACCTCCATCATAATTACAGGAACAAATATAAGAATTGCTTCCATCTCTGTTGTACTGAATCCAAAAAAGCTGTTTATCGAGCACATCCAATGACACAGCTGTTATTCTTTCTGTCGTCTCTAACAGAATCTTCTCTTCCACACCATTGAGATCTGCTCTGTGAAGGCTGCCAGCCACCTCTGAAGACCAAAATATAAACCTGAGAGCAAACACATTACATAGACACATAATTGAAGGTAAAGTCACTTAAATGGTCAACTCTCGGTGTTTCAGTCCCTGGATGTCCGCACAGGAGGAGTTGGACTATTTTGAATGAAATTCCAATTCAACAAATATTTATTGCCCTGCTGTGGACATTCCATGTGATTTCAAGTTAAAAAAGGAATTTTTCTTGGGGCACCTGGGTGGCTCAGTCCTTAAGCGTCTGCCTTCGGCTCAGGTCATGATCCCAGGGTGCTGGGATCGAGCCCCGCATCGGGCTCCCTGCTCATCCGGAAGCCTGCTTCTTCCTCTCCCACTCCCCCTGCTTGTATTCCCTCTCTCACTGTGTCTCTCTCTGTCAAATAAATAAAATCTTTAAAAAAAATTTTTTTAAAAAGGAATTATTCTTCTCTAGTAGGAAATCATGATAATTAAGAGCACCATTTGTAGAAGGAAGCCTACCTTGGTTCAAATCCAGACAACCTTTGTCCTTCTGAGTTCAAAATATTATAAGTCTATGAATTATCATCAGATTTTGATATCTATTTCAATGTCTGAAAACAGCAGTTACCTTTCTACTGGATCAATTACTACATTTGCAGGATAGTTTAAGGCACTTAAGAGAACTCGGGAATTGTTTCCTTTCATATCTGTTACTGTAATGATTCCTTCCTGTTGATTTGACCAAATAAGTTCTTCATTTATCCAATTTATTGCCATTCCTGAAACATTTTTCTCTATGTTGCATACTCTCTGTAAAATCAAATTTCAAAATATTAATATTTTTTCATTCACATCAACATTTTTTATCTTTATGTATAAAAGTCTATTCTTTTAAGTACTTGCCATTTTTTTGTGCATTCATAAAACTATTTAAATCATAAAATAGTCACAGATATGGTGCCATTGTTTTGATGGAGCAATGTTAACCCTCCCACATGAGTATTTTTGGGCTTTAAATGGAAAATTATCCTATGCTTCTTGAAATTAGGCAATCAACCATAATGTATTAATGATTTCCACTATAATAACAGTGAAATTTCCATGCTATCTTAAAGACAGTGTATCCATTTGCTAATGGAATTTTCCATATTCTCACCTGAACCCAATTCTAAGGTTTGCCAAAATCTGGCAAGATGTCCTTGACTTTTGTGCACAGAGCTCTAAAATAAATGAATTTCTCATTAGAGCCCCACTTTCCTGGCCCCTCCTCTTCCATCAGGCCCCATCTTTTCTACAAGTCTTCAGGGCCCTCACACTATGACCCTATGGCCCAAAGACCAGAGCTTCTCTTTATGCCTCTTGGGTGGTGTTTCCTGCTCTCTCATGATAAAACGACCAAACAAAAACCTCTTTTATCTCCTAATTCCAGCGTGTGCAGGTAAACCGGTCAGTCTTCTTGGGGGGTGGAGGGTGGGAGGTAGGGAGAAGCCCTGATTTGTGTGGTTGCAGATTTCCTTGGTTTGTAAATATTCCCACCATTTGGTGTAAATATTCCCACCATAGCTGATTTCTAGCCACTGACACGACATCACTGAACTCGGATGAGGCAGAGATTAGTCTCACCAGCTTGCACTATTCCTATACCTCATGCAAAGTAATCTAGCCAATCCATTGAACCAGTTGCTAATATATTAATATATTAGCTCACCCAGGTGAATTGTATTTTAACGGGTGTTGGGTTTTTTTTTTTTTGTAAACTGTGTTTTAACTCAAAGAAGAGGATACAATGGTGGATTGTACGCATCAGGTCAATCCTTCCCTAATGACTTGACACAAATTCACAAGTATTTAATTTTTTTCCCAGATTTTGAGACTCAAGATTTTTGAAACTATTCTACCAATGGCTGGAGAATAATGAGTAGCCATCCTTGTTAAAGGTGACATTAGTTAAGTCTCAGAGAAGAGATGCGATAAAAGAAATTAGCACTTAATTGAAGCTTTTAAGAATAACTGAAGGGAAAAAGGTTTGAAGAAAAACAAACAAAACAGTGAGCACTTTGTGCTGGGAATAAATGCTTAAGGTTTCTCCAGTCACAAGTCTCTGTAATCCATCTCTCAGGAAATGAGAGAACATTCCTTCTGGGACTCATTTAAAGGTTCCACCAGTTACAGAGAAAGATTAAAGATCTTTTGTATGTACTTGAAGCAAAATACTTTATATCTGACACCTGCTTTATTATTTTTCTTCCAGAGTGCAAACACCTTAAGAATCAAAAAAGGTGGGGTGCCTGGGGTGTTTCAGATGGTTGGGCATCTGCCTTTGGCTCAGGTCAGGATCCCAGGGTCCTTGGATTGAGCCCCACGTCTGGCTCCCTGCTCAGTGGGGATTCTGCTTCTCCCTCTGGCTCTCCCCTCTGCTTGTGCTCTCTCTCAAGTGAATAATGAATAAATAAAATCTTAAAAAAAAAGAAGAAGAAGAAGAAGAATCAAGGGCGCCCGGGTGGCTCAGTCGTTAAGCGTCTGCCTTCAGCTCAGGTCACGATCCCAGGGTCCTGGGATCGAGCCCCGCATCGGGCTCCCTGCTCCTTGGGAAGCCTGCTTCTCCCTCTCCCTCTCCCCCTGCTTGTGTTCCCTCTCTCACTGTCTCTCTCTCTCTGTGTCAAATAAATAAATAAAATCTTTAAAGAAAAAAAGAATCAAAAAAGATTTTCTTCCTAAATATCAGGTGCTAAAACCTATGACAGACATTTTAGACAAAACAGGGTTCCCAAACTCAGCACAACTGACATTTAAGGTCAGATAATTCTTTGTTGTGGGGGTCATCCTGTATATTTTAGGATATAGTTGCATCCCTGGCCTCTGCCCCCTAGATCCTAGTGGCACATTCTCTCTCCTTCCCAACACAGTTGTGAAAACCAACAATCTTTCCAGACTTTGCCAAATATCCCTGGAGGGGCAAAACTGTCCTCAGCTGAGAACCACTGGAGCCAAAAATAATCATGTAAATAATCTGTTTTAACCATAAAATGGTGATCTGACTTAATAAACATGTATAGTTTCAAAATTCCATTGACATCCTGACTCCTTTTGGGGTCTTCTGAATATCAGTGGGTTTGTTCAGTAACATGCCACAGATGCAAATTAAACAAATATCTACAAATGCCTGAAACATTTGAATTGGAATGTAATTTTCGTTCATCTGTACATTATTAATTAATGATACCATGTTTGTCAGCCTATACAAAAATCTCTTAAATACTTCAGGGATGTACTTTACCTCTTGCCTTGTCCCATTCAGAAAAACTCTTTGCAAAAGTTGTCTTTCTAGATCTACCCAATAAATTCTTCCCTTATTGTAATGAAAATCCATGATCACTGATACACCAGCATCTGCCACCAGTTGCTCATAATTAGTTCCTTCCAGGTCAATCCTAAAGATACTGCTTCCATGGGAGAAAATTAAGAAAGGTGCAGGACCTGAGTGGGAAGAAAGAAACCAAACTGTATATTTTCAATATTTTATTTGATTTAGACTAAATATTTCCCCATGACAACCAGTACAAGTAGGCTTAATTTTTAATTCCTGGTTTATATTTTAAATAAAGAATGTTATATGAAGAACAAGTTCCTGTGGATGTTCACCATTAATTTTATAAATCATCTTCTTCACAAATTGATTGTAAGAAATGAAAGTTGCCAAGTTAGGAAGAAAGAACTATTTGAAAAGAAAACCACTTTCTACTCTTATCTGTAAAATGCCATTTTATGTTAAAAAAGAAACCACCTCCTATACTCTGTTGTGGGTAGGGTCTGGATGAATGTAAATTTTAATTATGCAAATTGGAAATAATACTACAGGTATTATCATTTTGGAAATGGAACCTACCTCCTCTTCTTACCTTTTGAACAGAACCTCGGGGTAATGACAGAGAAGAAAAAAGAGAAAACAAGAGGTCTTTTTTTTTTTATTTTAATCATTTGAGAGTCAGTGAGATCATGAGCAGAGGGGAAGGGTAGAGGGAGGAGCAGACTCCCCCCCCAAGCAGGGAGCCCGATGTGGAACTCGATCCCAGGACCCGGAGATCATGACCAGAGCTGAAGGCAGACACCCAACCAACTGAGCCACTCAGACGCCCGAAAACAAGAGGTCTTAAGTGGAAGCAGGGAAAACTGAGATGCCATCCTGTGAAAGCTCTGAAGTGTTTTGTCCCTGTTAGCATTGCCACATAAAATACAGGATGCCTAGTCAAATTTGAGTTGCATATATATTGCATGGGACATGCTTACACTAAAAAATTATTTCACTGTTACCTGAAATTCAAATTTAGCTAGTTGCCATATATTTTTATTTGCTAGATTTGGGTAGTGGACCTCCCTGGATTTTTGATTCCTGCAGGACCTTGCCCTGAACTCTAACCCTATCGTCTCCTGTTCCAGGTGATGGCCACCTTCCCATTCAGACTCCCAGGTAGTCAGCACCTGCTTGGGAATCCAATACCTCTCTTTGGAAACCTCAACACAAATCACTGGCTGACTCTGCAGAGCTTGCCTTTGATGCTTCAAGAGAATGCCAGAGAATAGCTTCATTTCCTACAGCCAGGTTAGTTGCCTTGGTCTCTTCTGCCTGAGGGTGACGAGGCTCCTCCCACTGTGCCTTTAGATAACTCTGGAGCCTCTGGGATGAGTGGGGCATTGGAGATGAAGGCTAACATATTCTTGCTTCCCCATTAGGTTTACATTATTCTGTTTTCACATTAGCCTTTAATACCTTAATGTAACATAGTAAATGTGTTTATTGTTCTGAGGATTAAACGAAATGATGGATTAACCTCCTCTTATTCAGGGATTCTGTTCCACAGTCAGAAGACATTAACTCCGCTTTAGAGGATATTGGAATAGATACAAGAGGAAGGAAGAAGTGCAAGATCATGAGAGTTTGAAATCGGTGCCAGCATGCATATCTAAGAGAATTAGCTCAAATCACTCTTCCCATATCTTTCTCACGATAGAAGACCCCTGCACAGATATGGAGGAGAGCCCATTTTCTATTGCCACTCCAGCTGTAGAACCAGAGGTATCATAGAAGAAATGGGAAGGGCATTGGACTGAGAGCCAGGAGGCCTTGTTTCTAGTCCTGGCACCATAGCTTCCCTACACATCTCACTGGACCTCCCTGCCTGTGTTAGAGGATTAATGGGGAAAGAAATAAAATTGTATTTTTTTAAAGAATTTATTTATTTATTTTGAGAGAGAGAGAGCATGAGCAAGGGGGAAGAGCAGGGGGAGGGAGAACAGACTCCCCGCTGAGCAGGGAGCCCGATGCGGGGCTCGATCCCAAGACCCTGGGATCATGACCTGAACCAAAGGCAGACACTTAACTGACTGAGCCACCCAGGTATCCCAGAAATAAAATTTTAGATGAGAAAGTATTTTATTAATTGTGGAGCACTATGCAAATATAATTTGCCATTGCTGATTCCGAGAACCAAGGTCTCACTACATAGGTTTGTGCCACTGTTCAGGTTGAACCCCTGGATGAGAACATTGGTGTAACTCATTTCTCCCTTAGCAATGTGTCCTAGAGGAAAGGAATGAATACAAAAGGCACCCTAAACTGAAAGCTACTGATCTGTGGGCCTGTAGATTTATCACTAGGAGTCATTTCTTTGAAATGTGTATCATGCATTCTCTATAAACTGAATAAATGTACCCATATTATTAATTTTCTAGTGCACTGATACATGATAAGACCAATAAAACATTTTATTCATTTAAAAGTATTACTAAATGGGGGCACCCAGCTGACTCCATCAGAAGATCATGTGAATCTTGAACTCGGGGTCATGAGTTTGAGCCTCACCTCGGGTGTAGAGGTTACAAAAGAATTAAATAAAACTTTAAAAAAAAAGAAAAGTACTACTAAATGGGAGGTTTCCAGCTTTTTTTAAAAAAAAAAGGAGAAAGAAAAGGCACTCTAAACATTTTAGACAGAATATAGCATAATGCTTTGTACATAATAGGTACTCAAAATTTTTGAATAAATAAATAAATGTGTTTTGCTCATTTGTCTGGCTTTAGCCATAGGAACAAAGCTGAAGACACCAGAAGATACATCAAATTCATAAAAGCAGAGTCAATCCTACAGTAGTTATTTTACTAATAGCAATAATAATAATAATGATAGCAACAAACTTTCACATCCTGATCTCATTTATGCTTAACATAACACCATGAACTAGACAGGCCAGATATTACAACGAATAAATCAGAGAGAAAAGAGAAATCTAAAGAATACCTAGATCCATAAAACATGAACCATAACGTTAACTTCAGTAATTTTTCAAAAAATAAATTGAAAATATTTATTAAATTACTAAGTGTGAATTAACTAATGAAATTTCTCTTCAGATTTTTCCCATTCACTGGTGAATCATGGCACCCAGGGTTTATCATAGCCTCTGGGAACTGAAAAGGACCCTAAATATTACCTAATTCATTGTTCTCCAAAATTGTTGTTCAAAAGAATCACACGGGGTGCTGTGAGTATGTGTGTCTTTTGCAGATCCCTTCCTTTGAGATTCCAGTTCAGTAGGGGTAGGCCAAGGGCTAGCAATCTGTTTTTTGAATAGACACCTCAGATGATTCTTACACTAGGTGAACTGAAAATCATAGATCTAGTTCAGATGAGGAAATTCAGTGATGTTTCCCAAAGACCCACCCCTGGTTGGTGGCAGAGTTGGAATTAGCAGTCAAACATTGCCCTTTTCCCGGCCTTGGTCTGAGTTGTCATGTGTCAAGACATTACTATGTTCATTTTACTTATGTAACTGATTTTTTTTTAAAGATTTTTATTTAGTTATTGAGAGAGAGAGAATGATAAAGAGAGAGCATGAGAGGGAGGAGGGTCAGAGGGAGAAGCAGAATCCCCGCTGAGCAGGGAGCCTGATGCGGCACTCGATCCTGGGACTCCAGGATCATGACCTGAGCTGAAGGCAGTCGCTTAACCAACTGAGCCACCCAGACGTCCCCATGTAACTGATTTTTTAAAATCTTTTTAAAGATTTTATTTATTTATTTATTTATTTGAGAGGGAGAGTGAGCGAGAGAGCGCGCAAGTGGAGGGGCGGTGGGGGGTGGAGGGGCAGAGGCAGAGGGAGAAGCAGGCTCCCCGCTGAGCAGGGAGCCCGATTTGGGGGGTCGATCCCAGGACTCTGGTATCATCACCTGAGCTGAAGGCAGACACCCAACCAACTGAGCCCCCCAGACGTCCCCATGTAACTGATTTTAATTCCACTTCCCTCAAAACACTGTTCATTCCTTTTTCTACACTGCGGGCATCATTTTGTATAAATCAGGGCCTGGGTAATTATTTGTAGACCTGAAATGGAATATGATTTTTTTAAAAATGAAAGACTTTGAGAATTAGGCTTGATGGAATAGTCATTCTGTACTACCACTGGAAATGATAATCAGTTAGGGTTTTCAGACTTGTCAGAGACTCTGTACATATCAGTGTGTGGTACAATCCGTGGGTTTGAATGTCAGCAGGGTGTGCATATTTGAACAGCTAAACTTTCCCATGCCGTTCATTTTGGGTGCCATTCAGCAAGAGGGAAGTGCATAGAAAATCAAACATCATTTCTAAGGAATACAAACCCAAAGCCAGCAAACAGGTCACAGAAATCAATCGGAACCTCTGACTTCCCAACCTGGGGGATTAGTAGGGGATCTGCAGAAATAAGAAAGGAGGCCAGGATGTTTAGAGCCCGCTGAAGACTTTTATTAGTGACTCCAAGAACTGGTTCAGAGGTCAGTTAGGACAAGCAGGTTTTGATTGAAGCGGGCAGCAGAAACAGAGTATTTCACAAGAGGCACCTCTACATCGGCTCTGAACTGGTGGGAGTGGCCTCACAGAGGTCAGAGAGAAGAGAAAGCAAAGGTCTTCAGCTACCTGGGGGCAAAGACTCACAGGAACTACAGAACACAGAAATGGGGGTGCCTGGGTGGCTCAGTTGGTTAAGCGGCTGCCTTCAGCTCAGGTCATGATCCCGGAGTCCCGGGATCGAGTCCCACATCGGGCTCCCTGCTCAGCGGGGAGCCTGCTTCTCCCTCTCCCTCTGCCTGCCTCTCTGCCTACTTGTGCTCGCTCTCTCTCTCTGTCAAATAAATAAAAATCTTTAAAAAAAAAAAAAAAAGAACACAGAAATGGTCCTGCAACCAGATTAACAGAAAATCCTCGTCTTCTCTCGGGCCAGCATGGCACCCTGCTCTCCCCACCACTGGTTTCCTGCTCTAAATCTGGAGACAGACTGCAGGTTCACAGGACAGACAGTGAAAAGGGAGCTCTGGACCTTCAGGATTCAACACCACCATGGAAAAGGAATATATATTTAAACTGACAGAACTGGGGCACCTGGGTGGCTCAGTCAGTTAAGTGTCTGCCTTCTGCTCAGGTCATGATCCCAGGGTCCCGGGAT